AATGATGGATTTCGAACGAGCAGCTTATAATGCTTTTCGGGGTAGCTTTGTCACAACATCACTTTCAGGATGTTTTTTTCATTTACAAAACAGTATTCAGAGAAAAGTACAAGTATGTATTTTAGTGGTTTTTTTTATTAATAATTATAATCGAACGCATGACTATGTGATATATTTTCTTACGTTTAGGGATTAGGTTTTAAAACTAATTACGAAACTGATCCAATATTTGCACACAATGTACATAAAATTAGTGCACTTGCTTTTCTTCCGGTATCCGATGTTGGCCAAGGGTTTGATGAGTTATACAATGCATTACCATCATTATGTCAACCATTACTTAATTATTTTGAAGACACATATTTAGGTAGACATCGACCAACTGGTAGATCAGATCCATTATTCCCAATTGAATTTTGGAATATGTATCAAAGAACAACTGAACTATCTATGCGCACAAATAATTCAGCTGAATCATGGCATCGTCGTTTAAGTTCTGTTATGCAATGTCAACATCCATCTCTTTGGTCTTTTATAACTAGTTTACAAAATGAAGAACATTATATACATTGTCAAACAATCAAACTTAATGCTGGACAAAAAATTGCTCCAAATAAAAAATATTTAGATTATAGTAAACGTCTTCGTCATCTTATAATGCATCCTGAAGCATCACTTCTACAACAATTAGATGGACTTGCACATAATATATAGTTTCATTATTATTTTTTAAATTGTATATACATCTGTGAGTGTGTGAATGTTTGAAAGTTTAGTTATATTATCATGAATAATAATATTTAAAATAACATACATTACATAAAATATGGATGCTGCTTTTATCAAACGGTTACTTTTTTCTAAATCAATTTAATGAACATTCGAGCAATTTACATGGCAAGCAATTTTTGCAGCGAGCAAGTTTCGCAGCGAGCAATTTTCGTTCGGCCAATTTACGTTCGAGCAATTTTCGTAGACCCCCCGAAATAACGTTTTAAGAGAAGTACAGTGGCAAGTGCAGAATTTCATGAAAATCTGTTAGAATAGATATGAGTACCTATGTTATCCTTTTCTTTTTTGCAAGTAAGTTATACTAAAGTATTCTTCATGAAAGTTTAGTGAGGAATCTTGTCGAAGTCCGAATTATGTCCATCCGGAGATATAGAATCGATCGGTTAAATTCAAATGGTCTAGTGGTACAAGATGCTTAAAAACCCATTTTTCTTCAGTGTTTCACAACTCAAACTGTTTATCAGGTCTACTTTCTCTGCAGGGATACAAATCATATTGGTACAATATTGGTTTGGATTCAAAATTTACTCACTGCAACATTGTTTGATGAAGATATCAAATTAATCAGTGTAAGATGAGAATCATTTTTATTTTTCATAAAGCATTTTTTATTCACGAAATAATAGTAAAAAAAGTACGACAACATGGCAAATCGGGATACGTGAAGAGAGAGAGAAATGGGAATGGACTTCTAAGACCCGCTCTATCCATGTGACAGTCGTTTGATTGTAAAACAGTTAAAGTAATAATTGGCTTTTCTCCGGATATTGAGCATTTATTTGAATCATCATTAATTTCTGAATTCGTATCCAAATTTAAATTTGGTGTTGTTGATTTTGTTAAAGGTGATTGAAGAACAATGTTTGTAATATTTCACATACTATTTGTAACAAAAACAAAACAGACTATTAATATTATTTCAACAGAGTGTCTCTATTAATCTCAAATATGTATAAATATCGAAAAAAGAAACGCTCACGGACAATTAATTGTATCTTAATTAGCTTAATGAGTTTAAACGAGAATGAGCTCAAAACCATTATGGTAGAGAGAGGCAAATTTAGGCTACAAAATGAACTACTTATCTCTAAGACTTAATTAGCAGGCAACTGTACATTAACACTCCATGTATCTTTTTACCCCAAAGTACTCTATCAGAACGATCTCATAAGACCAGTGAACATGATTTTAACTCATAAAAAAGTTAAGGACACATCTTTTATTTTGATTTATGGATTTGAGGCTCAACATCTTATTGAGCTGATTGCTCTGAGGTATGGCTAATGCATCTTGAAGATGTGAATAGGCTGACAACGGTTCCAGATAATATTGTAGGATTATCAAAAGAAGAAGTTATTAATCTAATAACTATCATTAAATTATTTGATAGTGAGTCTCGTTATAATAAAGAAGAAGCTGATGTGATAAAAAAATGTCTTGCTATTGTTGACGGCCACTGTTTTGATCAGAACGTAGTAAAATCCAAAAGAGTTTATTATGAACTTGAATCAAAACGTTACGTTTTAAATGGTTTGGTGACTTGTGAATCTGTAAACTACAAGCGATTATTTATGAAAGTATGTAGACGATCCTTGAAAAGTATAGGAACTATTTGAATTGATTAAACAGCTATACTTTGAAAGGTACAAAGGACAAGTTTGTATGTATAGCAGCGTTGCTTTAACAAATATATCCTTTAAAATAGCTCATAGGAAAATGAGAAATTTTGCATTAAAAACTCGAAAAACGGCTGTTTACAAAAAAACTTTTATACGTCTTACCAGGTGGTAGTTTTTCTTTATTAGACCATCTTAAATTTTTTACGATCGAACTCTTTCCAGCGCGTTAGAATGAGCGTATTAGAACATCTTGTATAGGTTCTGTCAGTTCTGCTGATCGAAAATCTTAATCAACAATTACAGTTTATAGACTATTAATACCAATATTACTCACTTCCTAGATGGTACAGTACCTGAGAAATTAAAGATTGTATAGATTATTGATAAGAAGAAGACAGAGTACAAATCTGTCATAAAGTTTACATGTATCTATCTATCAGGTATATAAAAAGATAGATTAAGTAACAAAGGAAAATGTGACTATCTCGACTTATCAGCTCACATCGAGCTATTTTGGTGATGTAAATGACTTCAAAAGTCTTTATCAAAAGTCAGATAACAGAAATACTTATTCGTACACTATACTTTAATGATAACATTTATCTTTGATTGATGGGAATATTACAAAAAGGGTGCTGTTGAATTATTATGAATTATTAATGCTCATCACAGCATTTCCGGCTTACTGCATGATAAAGATTTGACAGATTTATAAATTGATAAATAGTGCTCGTAGCTTAAAACCATTTTCGGTTCAAGCTACATTATTTTATGAGTATTCTGAGTTTTCGAACATTACTTTCTACTTTTTAGGTTTTTGTGTTTCATAAGAACAGCATTCGATGTACGCTAGTGATAATCATATTCCTTTTTGGTACCCAGAGAAAATGTATCATCGAAGCATATCAAAACTTTCAATTTCAGGAGTCGTATTGTTACTCACGGACATTGGCTACAGCTAGAATCGGTCTTGTAATTACATCCTAGATTATCACTGATATACTATTTGTCTGTTTTGTTGCTTTTTATATTTATACATTCGTCTTCAAAAGTAGCCAATGGGTTATGTCAATCAAATTACACTGAGACGAAAAAAAGTGCACCGAAAAAACTTTATACTTTCTGTTGAAAGCCAATAAATAAAGAAATTAGAAACTCGAAACGTTAAACACACATTGCAATTTACTATTTCTCGTCTAGTTTCAGAATCAATCGAGTAAAAATGAAACACTATGAAGCATCACACTATTTTTTTACTGTTAAATAAAAGCGCGATGACTCGCCGCTGACACATCACTAACAAGTGCCTAGATCAAATATTGACTTTTCAACAAAAAAATATAGATTTCCCGTGACTACGCACAATACACAGAATTAAACCAACTGTTTTATTTTCTGTTTTGAGGATTTATCTATAACAATCGAATCACGCTCACGGCATCAAAATATCGTAACCGGACGATTCACATCCATAACAGAAATCTACTGGTTTGTTCTTTAAATTCGACATCGAAGTGTGCATGAGCACTAAGATGACTTTTCTCGATCAGCCACTGACGAGTGTTCTTCTTGAACTCGTCACATGACGTTTGTCCTTCGACAACAATAGAGATCAGCTGAGATTGTTCTTTGAATGCGGTCAAGATCGAAAGAACAATCGAATCAACGGGCGACCCATCGGTGATATCGATCTGCAAGTGACGAACGCGTGGAAACACAGCAGCGAGACGAGACGCATATTGTTCGGTAAATTGGGTTGGAGCCGTTGGTGCAGATCTTATAATCATTAGATAGGTGATACGGTTTCCTAGAAGACGGCACGTTTCTTCATCGTCGAAGAGCGAAAGAAGATTGTAGAAAGCAATAAACAGTTCGCAGAAATTTGGTGCGGCTTGAAGAAGCAATTTCAACGTCTGATATTCTCCAGCGGGATGTAAGAGCCAAAGACGTTTGAGACAAGACAGTTTTGGAAGTGATTGTGAACGTTGTTGCAGAGAAGCTAGAAGAGACATTATGAATCATATGCACAAACCTTGCCCACATAGACGATATTTACCCACAGAAACTGTATTGTCTTCGTCGTACGATCGAATGTCGATTTTTCTCACTCGACGACAACGTTCAAGGATTGGTAAGGATTCGGCCAGTGTCAATCCGTTGTGACCGTAGAATGTCTTCACGCGCGTGTAATCGTTTTTGTCAAGCATCTGCTTGGCCATGGAAGATGTTGCTGTAAGCAAAGAAAATCCGTATGGAATGGTATGTATGAGGGCCCATTGTTCGTCTTCACTGGACAGACAAGTCATAGGACAGGGGGATATGAGCAGAGCATTGACATCGATCTCTTCGACTGCATCAAAAATATAACGAAGAACCCAGTTGAACTGTTGGATGGTTTTCGGAAGGGCGTCCAGCCAATGTTTATACTCGCTGCTGACAAATCGAATATCTTGTGTAGATAGTTGAAGTGAGAGATGCTCGAGAACAGGCATTATGCCGAGAAGAGATGTCATCTCTTGAAGTATCCATGAATGATCGTAGCAGCGAAGTTGAAAGTGAGTAAGACAAAGTAGTGGAGAAGACTGAGCGAACGGTACTTCAAGGTGACTTGTCTTATGGATTGTTACGTACAATCGACGAATGTTGGGAATAAGTGCGAGAAGAGAAGGCAATTCATCGATAGTTCCTAGAGCGATAGTGAGACTGACAATTTGAGGGCATGGAAGAGTGGGTAAAACCAAATGACTGATTTTGATGTGTAACGATGTAAAACAATGATTATTAGCGTTAACAGCTCGTTCAAATAGGGTTGGTTGATCCGTGAGAAGATCGCGAATTTGCAATTCAACAAGATGTGAAAGGCCATTCAATGTATCGAGGAACGTCTCCAATTGATCACCGGTGAAACAGATCAGAGACAATTTTTGAAGATTCGGAAAGATCGACGACATTCGATGGGCAAAATATTGCGAGAAAAATTTGCCTTCCAATACTGACCAACAGGCACTGATGGTCAGCGAACGAATTTGTGAGCCTATTCGAGGAAGAACGGATGAGGCGACATATTGGAATTGATCGAAAGTCACTTCAGTCAGAGATACAAAACGACAGTAGTCCGAAATGCAGACATTGAGGCGAATGTTGAGTCCATAGAACGAGTAGAGAACATGTGCGCTTAGGAGATATTTGCAACTCTCAAGCAACATCTCGTCCGGCAGCGAAAGCAGAGTTGAAGGAAGCACAATCATCTAGAAACAGAAAACAGTGATGTTTGGATTCTGAGAATGAACGATTCTGTTTGCT